GTATCTCTGAAAGGACTCATAGTAAAAGGATAACATTGACTGACCCTGTAGAAAAGAACTGGGTGGCTGGGACATGGGTTGGATGTCATTTTTCACTGTGTATCATTTTGTACATTTTGAACTTTGAAACAAGTGAAGGTATTATATATTAAAAATGCTTACATAAAATCCAAGTATATGAAAAATGAAATAAAAGTGAGCTGGGGCCCTTTTGCAAAGCCCTCCCTGAGACATACTAGAAAGGCTAGAGGACTCCCCTTCAGTGCTTGCAGGAAGCACACCAGAATAGACCATGGCTTGTTTCACTGAAGAGACATCAGGGATTATAGCCAACTCATCAACACACAGGGACCCCTAGATTACAGATGCTTTTAGGGGTTCTGCTCTTTCTATTCTCCTTGAAAGGAACTCTCCCAGTTGGCTCTCGTGGTGATACCACATCGGGCCATCTTGTCATCTAGAGCCAGTGACCCCAGTTGACTAGTAGAAACCCATTCCAATCCAATTTCATATATTCTAGAAAATATTCACTCTTCTTTGTACAAGCAAGCAAAGAGAGGGTGTCGATATGGCAGCCTATATAAAATATTTGCCCTTTCAGGGGAAATTATTGTTTGTGAATGTGGATGATATGGAGACATGTTATCTAAGGTTCCTAATCTGTTCATGGTTAGATCTAGACCTATGTTGTCCAACATGGTAGCCACTAGCCACACGTAGCTATTTAGATAAAGATTAATAAATGTTAAATAAAATTAAAAGCTTAGTTTCTCAGCTGGATCAGGCACATTCCCAGTGCTCAACAGTGCATGTGGCCAGTGGCTCACATACTGGATAGCTGTGCAGACTACACAACGGTCCTATCCTCACAGAAATTGCTACTAGAGGACACTGCTCTAGTCAGTGGCTAATGTCTCTTCCAGCTCTAAGGCTATCAATAACCAGAAACCTCACGATTCATCTCCATCTATTCACCTCTCCATGCTCAACTGTCTCCACACCTGGCTGTTTAAGGCATGATGGTTACAGCTCCCTTAAAGTTCCTGACCACGAATCCCTTGAACTGATCTGAGGCAAGTGCAGACCACTATCAGAAGAGACAGCATGGGTGCATTTGCTGTGGGGTTCCTGGCCCCTAGGGGCTATTGAAAGGAAGCTGAGTTCTCTCTTGTCGGCACCTCCTACCCTACCACACCAGCTGGAGCTGGTAATTGAATAAGCCTTTGGTTATTGTACACATCCTCCCAATTTGGTGAACAAGGGACAGAGAAGAGGCTTCCAGGAGTGAGGGTGTGGAGCCCTTCCCTGGGAGGAAGATCCCAGGGAGGAGGTTAAGAACGCAAAACAGAGCTTGTCTTGCTGCTACAGAATGGAAACATCTCAGCATAGGAATGCTAGGAAAGAGGTGAATGATAGAGGCTCTCCCATATTCCCCAAGGTGGCCCATTTAGAGTCTGTGGGTTGCAGACTGGGGAATGTATTCCGTGGGTAGCCAGGAGGTCTGGAGGGTGGGATGGCATGTTGTCTGTGGTTCCCCAAGCATCCCCAAATACCTAGGGCTGGGTAACCACAACAAGCAGACAAGGGAGGGCCGGCCTGGAAGACCCTCCAGAAATTCTCTGGACAAAACTGACCCCACCCCCCCAAACATGGAGTTATGTTGAGAACTTGAGAAGCTCCAAAAGCTGGACTACCAAAGTTCCCAACATCCATGGCCGAGGCTGGAGAGAACCTAGCCCGAACCTCTTTATAAACTTAATGACTTAAGAGGAGTTAGCAGATAACTTGGGAACAGATGCTGATGGCATCCACCTCTATCCCTCAGGAACCTTTATCCCAAAACATGTGGTTCTCCCCACCCTTCCATTCCACCGCCAGATTCTACCCTTTGGGAGAGCTTTCTCTGAAGTCTTTGAGAGGTCACTCTGCTAGCAGACGGCAGATGTCTGATGGGGATGATATTACTACTCCAGCTTCCTCACCTTTCCCCTCTCTTGTATTCTGTACTGTTCCCCAGAAACCCTGTGGGTGCAGAGTCCCGTCTCCCACAGTGGGTGCTGGTTGGTTAGTGAGTTCTTTGTTGGTTCCCTTCTCTGCTTCTTCTCTACTGGTATTTTTGTCCCCCTCCTCTCCCAACTTCCAGATAAATAATTTCCTCTTTAATATTTGTCTCACACAGGGTCAGTTTCTGGGGAAACCTAAACAAAGACATAAATTAATCATGTCAATTAATTTTCAGCCTCCCCAGGCTGAAAGGTAATTAAATACATGTCTGTACGCTCTCTGCAAAAGGTTTGAAAGGAGTGTCTGCTAAGCCATTACACATTTATGCTTTGCTGCCAAGAAACCAACAAGAGGTGCTCAGGATGGGCAAATGTCAGCCCCCAAGGGCATGACAGCAACTGACAAAACTATTTATTGGAGGACTTCTGGCTGTCAGTTCTGATCTCTGTTGACGATCAGAGGAATTCACTCATTCTGCAAATATTTTCTGATCTCCACCTCTCTGCAAGAGGCCCCGGTAGCATCAGCCAAATGAAAACAAGTACTGTCTGTTTTCTCTGAGATGTAGCTTTCAGATTACTCTATTAAAAAAAAACACTAATGAATCTGCTCAGAATTAATGCTTGAATTACCGTTGGGCTGGTGATGATTCTCAAGAGGGTGAAGGGTGAGTAATAATGGCCAGGATTTTTTCTTTTTCACACTATGCAGGATTTCTTTCTGTTCTTTACCATGCCCCATCCCCCTTCCATAAATAAATAATCACTGCAGTGTGGGGTATGCCCCAGGAGTGTTGGGACAAAAGCAAGGTTGCAAACTCCTGGGCCACAGAGCTCTCGCTTTGGGAACCAGGGCGGAGGAGGACCGACTACCCAATGTGGAGAAAAGGTGCCTGGCCCTAGAGCCAGGAGGGCGGAAGGACGGTGCTGCCAGACAGTCATGTGACCTCAGGACATCAGCTGCCCTCTCTCAATCTGTTTCCTCACCTCTCAAGTGAAGAACGGGGATGCTCTGGTGGCTAAGGTCATGAATTATGAATATTCATGAGTCTCTTAAAAAAGAAGCAACGGACCAAAACCAAATCTATGGTTTGGTTTCACTTTCCCTTTGTGTTTTTCCCCCTCTCACCTGGTTGGGGGGGAGGGTGGGAGACTGCCTGTTTTGAGGTTACTAGGCACTGTTTGCCCTAAAAAGAGTTTGCAGTGACCTGGCTCAAGGAATTAAGGTCAGAAAGAAAAGGGGCTGTTGAAAGGAGATGGGGGGGGGTGGAGAAATGGCGGAGTAAAGATGTTTTTGATGGATCCAGAATTGGTGAAGACCCTGCTGGGAAGGTTCCTGTTGATACTGAGGGTGCAGGGGACTGAGGGGGCATGGGAGAACAAAGAACAGAAAAGGTCTTCCTTGGGTTTTTTTGTTTTTTGGTAGCTTTTATAAACTCTGGTGGCTCTCAAGCCTGGCTGAATATTCGAATCATCCAGAGAGTTGGAAAAAAAGTCACAAAGTCCCTCTCCTTCTTCTGATTTAATTGGTCTTAGATGGGGCCTGGGCATGAGCATTCTTGAAAATGCTCTGGGATAATTCTGCTGTGCAGCTGGGATTGAGACCTACTGAACAGTAACCCAGAGCACAGGAAGAGCCTGCTTGCTTTCTCTCAAAAAAATAAGCTACCTTATTTTTCATACGTTCTCTACACTTTCCTTCCTCTTCTGTTCTTCTCGCCCGGTGCCTCAGAATCCCCAAGTCATACATGGATGGGAGATGGAGAAAGGTAGAACAAACCCTGTGCATTCTATGTTCTGGTTAATTCCTTTATTATTTACCAGGTTTAATAAAAGATGCTTCCCTCCATGCATATAACTCATACTGCTTAAGAAAAACTTGAAAAAATATTATACTCAAAAACAAGAAAGAAAAAAACATCTCAACATGTCACATAGGTCCCTCCCCCAAAGACAACCACTGTTAACACCAATACATTTTAATGTTTTCTTTCTAATTTTTTCTTGATGCCTCATTTCTTTGTTTGAGTGCTTTCTACTATGTCTACCAGGGGTTGGCCAACTGCAGCCTGCCGGTGAATCCAGCCTACTTTTTGTTTCTATAAATAAAGTTTTATTGGAACAGAGCCATGCTTATGTGTTACCTTTTTTTTTTTTAAGATTTTTTTTTTATTTGACAGCGAGAGAGACACAGTGAGAGAGGGAACACAGGCAGGGGGAGTGGGAGAGGGAAAAGCAGGCTTCCCGCAGAGCAGGGAGCCCGATGTGGGATTCGATCCCAGGACCCTGGAACCATGACCTGAGCCGAAGCCAGACGCTCAACGACTGAGCCACCCAGGCGCCCCTTATGTGTTACCTTTTGTCTTTCACACTACCAGGGCAGAGTTGAATAGTTGTAATAGATTATCAGGCCCAGGAAGCCTCATATTTATTGTTTGGTGCTTGAAAGAAAAAGTTTGTTGGTTCCTGGTACATACCCTTCTGTACTCTCTTATTTGCCCCACTTGACCTTATTACGTGAGCATTTCCCATGTTGTTATAAATGCTTCGTAAATATTTCTAATAGCTCCCTGGTATTTCATTGCATGGAAAGGCTGTGGCTTAGCCTTACTCTTATTATTAAACATTTATGTGCTTTCCGCCTAATTTTTTTCATTCTTATAATGAATGCTTCAGTGAATACATATAAATTTTATCTATATTTTCAATTATTTCTTTAAGACAGTGTCTAGATTCTTCAACTGGTAGGTAGGGGCATTTCAAGATTCTCGATACAGATCATCAATTCCCTTGCTCAAAGATGTCATAGTAGCTTATACTCCTCAGTAATATAGGGGAGAACCTACTTCACCACGCACTTGTGGGCATTGAGTATTACCATTTTCAACATGTTACCTTTAGACAGGGAAGCAAAATGTTACTATTTTAAATTGTATTTCTCTTATGTCTAATGAGATCGAAACTGTTGCATTTCTTCTCTCCTATGTTGACTGCTTTTCACCTTTGCTTGACCTCCTTCTGCACAGGGAGCAGGTCCTGCCTCACCTTGGCTTGGAGCAAGGCCCCTGCTTCCGCCCGGTTCTTTTCGACATCTTTCTCCCAGTGGATCCTGATGGTCTCAAGGATGTCGTCCAGACCAGTGCCGATGGGTACACCCATTTGTTCCAGCTCAGACCCTGCCAGCTGTTTGTACAGCACTTTCACATCCTGCGAATGACAATATACACTCCAGGTGAGCTCCAGGGGACAAGGAGAGCACACAGAATTTCAGCCAGCAGAAGCCCGGGTCTGTGGGCACCCCTGTGCTTCTCGTTCTGCTCCTGCCAAACATGGGGCTTCACAGAGACTGGCAAAGTCCCCGGTCCCCTCGCCACACGCATGCCACAGTCTTTGGCAAGAAGGAGGCGTTTCTCAGGCCGGTGTTCGCAAGCCCGGGCCCCCTCAAAGCAAATATCAAAATACATAAACCGCAAAATAACACAGAGGAAGCAACAACAGCCAGATGAAATGTATGAATTCTGTAAAGTCAGAGTAGGCTGGGAGAGATTTGGAGGCCACTGAAGGGTGAGTGGTGGAGAGTGGCGGCGAGCGGCGGAGCTAAGAGCAGGAGGAAGCGGCCTTAGTGCCCGTGGTCAGCCTGAGGGCGGACGAAAGAAGGAACTTCCCAAGGGAAGCGGAGTTAAATGGGTTTTGACTTTTTTGGCTGAAAGCACGTTCCATGTCCGCTCAGACAGTGACACGTGGGAGGTGGATGAGTCGGGCCGCTCTGCCGGCAACTGGACGGAGTCATGGGGGGAGGTCCCGTTGAGTCCTGTCACTCAGTGAGCTGACGGAATTTCATTAACGAGTGTGTGCAAACCCCAGCCCGGGTCTAGCTTCAGAGTTATTTTGTTTATTCAGTGCAGCGTTAAAAAAGAAAAAAAGAGAAAGAAAAAAAGACCTGGAATACAAGGACTTGAGGTAGGGGATGCTCTCTCTCCAGCTCGACACAGGCCCCCTCACTCTCCAGTGTGGACCTGCCTTCCCCTCCCCTTGTGTCCCAGCCCGGGGCCTGAGGCCGTCTGAACTTGAGACTCCGGCCGTCACCTCACCCACTGCAAGGATTCGGGCGTGTTTTATCCGCAGCCCCGCGGGGGCAGGCGAGGGGGACAGGCCGAGGGGGACAGGAGCTAGCCTCACCGATGGCCGGCTCCGCCAGACAGGCGCGGGCCTCTGGGCTGCAACCAAGCCAGCGTCGGCCCGGCCCCCACCTACCTCTTCGTAGCTCCTTGACAGAAAGCAGAGTTCTTCTTTCAGGCGTTCTATTTGACTCTCCAGATCCATTTTTGACAAATTAGCTTCATCAATGACTTTATACAGAGAGTTAATTTCCTCTTCCGCTGCCTTTCGAAATGGCTGCTCATTTTCATATCTGCAGATAAAGGAGCTTAATCAGCATAGGTGGGCAACCCCAAAGGGGAAATAATCAGATTACAAATGTTACCAACAGGCCAATTATGTGATAGACAAATGGATGTTAGAAGTCACCGTTCCAACAGCTCTGAGGGCACTGTTAACGCAAGTGTTACATGTTGATTTATTAAAATGAAAGTGATGGGCGCCTGGGTGGCTCAGTTGGTTAAGCGACTGCCTTCGGCTCAGGTCATGATCCTGGAGTCCCGGGATCGAGTCCCGCGTCGGGCTCCCTGCTCAGCGGGGGGGTCTGCTTCTCCCTCTGACCCTTCCCCTCTCATGCTCTCTGTCTCTCATTCTCTCTCTCGCAAATTAAAAAAATAAAAATAAAAAAAAAATAAAATAAAATGAAAGTGATGGCAGCCAATTTCTGATAACCTAGCTTCACAGGCTGCCACGCTCATGGGGCCCTGGAAGCACAGAACTCTAGGGAAGGCTTCTCCAGGAGTTGAGATCCAGGTAGGGGGATGTGGCATGTCACCATTATTCTGATTTGTCATCCTTTTCCCCCGAGGATCCTTTAACAAACATTACTGAGAATCTGCTAAGCACAGGCTAATGATCCCCAAATGAAAAACACAGTTTCTGTCTCCAAAGAGCCCGTGTGAAATTTTAAAACTGTGGCTGCAAACCCAAATGCTTTCAGGGGCCAAGTGGGGAATATAGATGAGGGATGAGGGCCGGGTCTGGGAAGCAGGGAGAGGTGGGGATTGAAGCCCACAGGACAGCTCATCTTTCACGAAAGGGGACCTGCTGCTCAGCTCTTCCTGTTACTGCTGCGTGGGAAGGGGTGTGCCAGTTCTCTCTGAGAGAAATGGGAAACCTGGATTTATATGCGAAATATCCAGAGCTTTAAAAACTTGCAGCCTATACAATAACACATAGGCACACCCATCGACACAAATCTGAAACTTCCCCCCTGAGTTCTTTCCATCTCTGGTTTGCACAGAGCCTTCTTTCTATAAACCACCCAACATCTTTGCCAATTTCTCTCAGTGTTACTCCTTTCCTTCTACGGCCTTCCACCCAGCTGTACCCTCAGCCACATTTCACACCTTACCTTCATCCATCCATAGAACGGAGAAATCTCACATTACTCATTGAAAAAAGCATCTTAGGGTTTTAGAGTTTTAAGGGAATTTAGGATTCAACTATTCAAACTCTTACCCAGTGACAATCCCTTGATAGCGTTCTTTAAAAAAAAAAAAAGATTTATTTATTTATTCGAGAGAGAGGGTGCTTGAGAGAGTGCAAGCGAGAGTGCAGGAGCAGGGGAGGGGCAGAGAGAGAAGGAGAGGGAGAGAGAATCTCCAGCAGACTCCCCGCAGAGCATGGGGGCCTGACATGGGGCTCCATCCCAGGACTCTGAAATCCTGACCTGAGCCGAAATCAAGAATCAGTTGCCTAACCAACTGAACCACGCTGGTGTCCCTCGACAGCATTCCTGATAGGTGATCATGTAGCCTCTACTTGACTACTTCCAGTGACAGGGAACTCATCACCTACCACCATCACCATTCCATTTTAGGACAGATCTAATTATGGAGATTTCTTCCTTCAAGAGCTTAAGTCTTCATTCCTGTAAGAGTCTGAGTTCCACTCACTGGAGCATCCAAAGTTAGTCTGATCCTTCCTTCTGGCAGTCCTATAAATATTGAGTCTAGTCTCTTATATCATTCTCTTTTCCCCTCATCACTTCCTCCGAGCCTTTTGTTCCTCAGGTTAAACATTCCCAGTTCCCCCATTATTCATATAAATTGGTTTCCATATCCCTCATCATCAGTGGCAGGGACTTTGTATTCTTAGCATCCACCTTCAGGCTTCAAATATATGCGTGGAATGATTAGAAATGCTCTAATTGGTCCACATCTTTCTCAAAATATGATTCAGAGACTGGAATGCAAAACTCCAGATGTTGCCTGATCAGTTCAGAGTCCCGGGGGACTGTCTGCTCCTTTGTTAAAACCCTTTAATTCTATTCATCATGGGCCCTAAGGTTTGCTTTGTGGGTTTTTGTTTGCATGTTTGTTCATTTGATTTTGACCAGCTGTATTTGCTGCTGACTAATATTGGGTGTCCTGTCAATTAGAGTCCCTGACCATTTTTCACAAGTCCAATAACCCTGTCCTTTCTGGGTGCACCTGGTATTTGAACCCCAAAATAGGAGTTCATATATATCCTCTTTCAGTTTCACTGGCCCATTGTTCCAATGTGTTAGGATCATTCTTCTCCTTGCCAGCCCTCCTGGCTTTGTGTCTTCTGCCATTTTGCCCTTTCATGCCAAGGTAGCTTTCATGCACCTTACAGTTAAAAATAGTAAATGCAGGAACCGAGGACAGAGCCCTGTGGCATACCGCTAGAGACTTTCCTCAGAGTCGGACCTGCACCTTTGAATCTCCCTCCCCCCGAAGAACTGGTTTTTGAAGTCATTTTTATCTACTCTATATGTAGGATTAGATTCTCTACCCATATATATTCTTCATGAAGGACTGTATTTTTATTAACATTTAGTCCTTTTGGAATCAAGTCCTGCCCTTCCAGCTGGCATGAAAACCCACCCATATCACTGGGATTGGTCCCTGCTGACCGGGGCCGGAAGAATCCCCCTTGTGCCTCTGAAGTCCTGTTTTGCTTCTCTCTCCAGGGAGCCTGGCCCCTTCCAGGGTGTGCTCCAGTCAGCATTATGGGAGGTCTTAGGTGTCCTACAGATCGTTTTTTGGAAGTCCTCTAAGCATTTAACACATCCCTGTGGTATCTCCCGAAGCTGCTGTTAAGCTTTTAGCTTTCTCTTGCTATCTTTTTTTCCTTTCCCCCCCATTTCAAAGTCTTCAAATAGAATCTCTTTGCTTGTGATACCCAGAACTTTCTGTCTTGACCTGCAAGCCACTCTGGCCCAGCATCTTCAGAAATACCACAATTTCTGCTTGGTTGCTCTACCATCTGCTCGACTCAGCTTGCTCAAAGCCAAATTCATTATCTATCCCTGACTTTTAGACCAGCTTTCCTTCCACAGTTTTCTATTTTAGTCAGTAGAACCACAAATCTTCTAAATTACCCAAGTTCAAAGCCTGAAACTTATCTTTGCTTTCTATTTCCAGGCTGCATATGTCAAACCCTGCCAATGATTTCTTTGACCCATCTCTGAAGTCTGCTCATGGCCACCATCCCAGGCAGACCCTGAGCTATAAGATTGTCTTCCTCCAACTTCCTCCAATACCTACAGTATTGCCCCCAGAGGGGCCATCCTTAAACACACTGGGTCACCATTTACTCAGAGCCATAAGTGTCCTCCTCTGGCCCCTTAGTAATCTGATCTTGCCTTCCTTTCTAACCTTGGCTCCCAGTACACACCCTGCCCTGCCATCCAGCCAGCCCGTTTGCTCCCATTGCTTCTTGCTCATTTGCCCCGCCTCTCCTCTCTACCAGTACAAATCTCCCTTTAAGCTGAAATCCGGTCATGATGAGCCACTGCTCAGATCCCTTCTATGGGTCTCCTCTCAGGTCATCTCTGAGCTCGTTGGTATGGCTCACATGGTCCTCTGGGATTTGGTCTCTCCCTGGTTTTCAAGACTCATTGGCTGCCCTTCCTTCCTTCACTCCATATGCCCACTAATGCACCAGGCTTTCTCATGTACTTCTGCCTTAGCACATACTGCCTCCTCTGCCTGGAAAGTCATGCCTCCTTCATTGGCCTGGTCAACTCCTACACCAGTTTAGGGCCCAAATCAGGCGTCACCTCTTTTGTCAAGCCTCCCTGGCCAGACTAAATGTCCCCATTTCACTTGTGCTCACCTCAGTGATGGCACAACCACTCTGTGATGCTGCTGACTGTTCACTCCTCCGTCTTTGACACTAAACTGTGAGCTGCTGGAGGTCCCCTTCACTTCATTCCCAGTAATGAAGTGCATTGGTGATGCAACGGGGAGCAAAACAGACCAAGCCCCTGCTACTCAGTTGAGTGGCTGGATGAAGGCATGAACGCATAATGAATAAATGAATGAGCGAAAGAAATTTTGGTCACATCCTACCCGGACTTCACACTTAATTAAATTCTATCTTAAATTTAGTACAAATGGCTTCATGTCTATTGGCACTATCTTTAGCTGTGCAGTAAGCTGTGGTGGCTGGATGATGGCTTCAGTTTTGTGCTCCTGTGACCTTGGCGAGCACAGTGTTGTCCGAGACAGCAACGCCAGCTGACTGAGAGTCTCCTTGACTCCGGAGTGGCCGCTTGTGGGGATCCTTTTAGCAGATGGAGAAGCTTGGTCTTACAGAAAGGAAAGGACTCTGGGAATGAGGAGATGGTGGAGATTTTCCTTCTCATCACAACACTCTTATCCTAAGATAAGAATGGCAGTGGGATGGATCACTGGCTTCCGCAAAGATTCCCAACGACATGCCTTTCCTCTTTGTCTTTACCAACTTAGGGAAATGTTCCTTAAATAACTATCCCATCAGCCATCTAATTGCCCAACATCCAGAACACCTTCCCCACAGAATATTCTCAAAATCGCTGTGTTTATCAATGAAAGGTCTTTTTCGTTTCGTTTCTCCATTAGACCAGTGTTTCCGAACGTCACTGACCATTGTGATTTTGCCCTAAATGCGTCTCTCTCCTGTCATTATTTACTTTACATTGTTCCTTAAATTCATCTACTTAAAAAGTAAATGTTAAATCAGTAAACTTGAAAAGCTCTTTATGTTCAATAAATTTTAAATTGCCAGTATAAATTGTAGTGCTATGGTGGAAAAAGTTTCATGAGTCATAAATAGAAGGTAACTCTAAAAATACATAACTATTAAAAAGAAAATGTTTATCCTTATACCACTTAAGATGATCTTCATCAGTGCTATCTACACCATATTTTAGGAAACAGTATATTAGACTTCAAAGAGGTGTTTTTCAAGGCTGGGGAGTTAAAAATTCTGAGGCCCAGACCCCACCCCCAGGGACTGTGGTTTAATTAGTCCGTGCAGCTTGGGCATTGACATTTTTAAGTGGCCAGGTAATTCTAACATGTAGCTGCAATTGAGAAGCATTGCTCAAAACCAGCAGTTATTCGAGTGTGCTCCCCGGACCAGCAGGATCAGCATCGTGGGGAACTTGTTAGAAATGTAAATTTTGGGCCCCACCCCAGACTACTGAACCAAAAACTCAGGGGGTGGGGCACAGCGATCTGTGTTTTCTATAAGCTCCTGGCAGTCCTGAAGCAGCCACAGTTTGAGAACCCCTGCTCTGAACCAGGTGACACTGGGCAAAATCTCTGAGCCCTAAGACCTGGTTTTGTGTCTATCAGGAGGGTTCGAGCTGGACGATCTTTGCTCCGATCCTCCTGGGGACCTCTACCATCCCACTCCAGCCTTCTGTGCGGTTGGCAGTGAGTCCTGCAGACCCCAGAACAGCATCACTCGACTTGCCCAGAGTCTGGGGGAGTGGAAGGACTGTCCCCTCTGTGGCAGATATTACCTCTCCTTAAAGTCGTCCGCACCCGCCTGGATATTCTCTGTCTGAAGCATGAGCCGGGCATTTTCCAGGACTGCCTCGCCCACCTAGAAAGATCACACACATCAGAGGATACGAGGCCACTGGACCGTCTTCCCTCCCTTCCCACCGTGACTTGCACCGGGCAGAGGTTCTGGGGAACTTAGAGCACCTTTCTTATAGCAAATATTTTTAGAATTCAAGTGTCTCTCTCCAAAAAGGGGGGGAGGAGATAAACGATAAAGCATAAAATCTGGATGTCTTTTAAGGGCCTTTAGAGTTGGATTTTTAGAGCTAAAATATTATTCAAAGGCAGATTTGTTCATTGCCCCTGTCATAATGCGGAGCTTTCAACTACCAGTGAAGTTTCTGGCTCCTTAAATGAAGATTCCCTGGTTTGACTTAGTGGCTCTTCACATTTTCTGGTCATGGATGTCCTTGAAAAGCTGATGAAATCTCTAGTTCAGTGCTGCCCAATAGAACTTTCTATGATGATGGAACTCTTCTATGTCCGCACCATCCATCACAGTGCCCTGACATGGCTACTGAACACTCACCATGTGGCAAGGATGACTGAGGAACTGAAAATTTAATATTATCTAAATTTAATTTATCATTATTTTTTATTTTTAAAGACTTTTTTTGACACACAGAGAGAGATAGTGAGAGCAGGAACACAAGCAGGGGGAGTGGGAGAGGGAGAAGTAGGCTTCCTGAGGAGCAGGGAGCTCGATGTGGGGCTCGATCCCAGGACCCTGGGATCATGACCTGAGCTGAAGGCAGACACTTAACTGACTGAGCCGCCCAGGTGCCCCAATTTATTGTTATTTTTAATAGATTTTTTGGGGGGGGAGAGAGAGAGCACACATGAACTGGGGGGAGGAGGGCAGAGAAACAGGGAGAGAATCTTAAGTAGGCTCCACGCTCAGCACAGAGCCCGACTCGGGGCTCGATCTCAGGACCCTGAGATCATGACCTCAGCCAAAGTCAAGAGTCTGATGCTTAAACAACTGAGCCACTCAGGTGCCCCTGTTTAAATTTAATTTAAATTTGAATAGCCACCTGTGGCCAGTGGCTATCATATTAGCATGGCTCTAGAATTTTATCCACTGTCAAAACATACATATGGGGGCGCCTGGGTGCCTCAGTTGGTTAAGCGACTGCCTTCTGCTCGGCTCATGATCCCGGAGTCCTGGGATCGAGTCCCACATCGGGCTCCCGGCTCAGCGGGGAGCCTGCTTCTCCCTCTGACCCTCTCCCCTCTCATGCTGTTTCTCTCTCTCTCTCTCAAATAAATAAATAAATAAATAAAAATCTTAAAAAAAAAAACCATACATATGAACATAAACACTGTGCATACAGTTTGGGGGTTTCATGGAGACACGAAGAGTGGTTTTTCAAAACCAGCTCCCCAAACCCTACAGAATGTACCCAAGATTTTGTTTTTATTTAGGTAAGGTGAGGCGAACAGATCAGGAGATGACTGACATTGAAAAGATGTTACTCACAGTTCCCAAGGGGAGGGGCAGCCCCACCATGCAGGGCCAGAGGAGGAAGTACCAGGGTTGGTTGCAAAAGGTTGAGAGGAAAGCGTGGGCAAAAGCCTTTATTGTAGTTTTCATGGGAAGGAACTGGTGAGGCAAGGTAAACAGTCGAGCAGGTTTAGGACTGGGTAGTTTGGAGAATTTCAGCCGTCTCTGGGCCCCTGGGGTGGTCTCCGGCCACCTGGGATGCTTAGGGCAGAGGAACACTGCTTCCTGGAGTGTAAGAGCCAGAAAGAGGAGGCGGGTGGGGGTATGTGCTCAGGATCCGCTGGTCTGCACAGCAAAAGCGTGGCAAGTGGTTTACTATCTCAAAGGTTCGCTAGCTCTGCGAGGGGTGGTCTCGCCCTAACAGCGAGGCCCCAGATGCCAGAGCATGAAGAACACAAAAAAAGTGAAAATAGAGTTAATATTGTTGAATATAGTTATTCTAGCTGGCCATGGCTACCTGAGGCGTCCCTGAGGATTGACTTTGGCTGCTCTGGCCGAGCCCTCTCCTCAGCCTCCTTCACACAGCGGCAGTCCCCACATTCGGGAGCCCCCTTTCCTGTCTTTGGATGCCACTTTGCCAATGCCATTTTTCAGATGACAAACTCGACGCCAAAGGCAATCACCCTGCTCGAGTTCTCACAATGATGCCCATGGCAAATGCCTCGTTCTAGTGCAGGACACCGAATCATAGCAGGTGTCTAGACTGTGGGCTGGAACACGACTGCTTTGGAAAATAAAAGGCCTATCAGAATCAAGAGAGACACTCATTGGGGAAGATTGTTTTCCGTCTTTTTCCTGTAATGGGACAGCCAGGACTCCTGGTCCCTCTTTGGGCTGCATCACGGAGATAAAGAGCTACCTTGCCCACCGGCACGAGGAAGGTCACCAAACCAAACCAAACCAAACCATCTCCCATGCCCATGTCCTGAGCTTTCCCTGCCAAGCCCCGTAAGCTGAGTGGAGCTGAGCAGATTGTGGGCCCAACCCTGAAGGCCTGGAGAACGTCGGTGGCCGAGCACTGTGCGGTCAGGCCTGCAGAAGAAATGTCAACTGCACTTAAAACTGTGGGACCTGAACATTAGCCACCTGGTCCCCTTACATTTATGGTTGAAGCAGATGCAAATTAACTTGACCTCTCTGATCATCTTCTCTCTCTGGGAGTGAAGGCAAGATGAATACCAAATATGAATATGTACAGTCACTAGGCTGATGCTGTGAATATGAGCACACTTGCTCATAACCCTGGAACCACTCCTACCCTCTTTTCTCATAGGAAAGAGTACGAACCAACGTCAGAGTTGCACTGCAGGGTGAACTTTAAGCGCATGGCGTGCTGGGAAGGCCAGCAGGGGACCATCTCTCCTCCCCTTCTCTCTCCTCTGCCCAAACACAGCCGACTCCTACCATCAGCACATGATGACGGTTTCCTCTGTGGAACATGACTTAACACCAGGTCTCCTGTCTGTCATAGCCGCATCGATGTGAATTGGTGTGTGAGATTAGGTGGTCTGGAGGGACTAGGACTCAGGATTTGTAAGTTTTGCTGGAGAAACAAAAGATGCCTTCAAAGCATACAATTCAATGAAGGAGAAGAGCGGGGCTGAGTGCTGTGGGGAGGGGCTGCCAGAAGCCAAGGTCGGCACGGCTTTGAGGGGGAGAGAGAGAGCACACATGAATCGGGGGGGAGGAGGGCTACAGGCAGGGGCAAGGGTGGGTTCACTGCCGGCCGGTGTTAATTCGAACTGCTCTTGGCTTGGAGTGCAGCTGCCTTAAGTTCCCTCCCTGGAACTGTCTTGCTCTCGCCTCCATGTGGAGGAGTCCTCAGCACACTTGGAGACCCCAGTTGTTCTCCAAGTGTGGCCCCTGGGGCAGCAGCATCAACACCACCTGAAGCCTGTGAGGGAGGCAAACTCTCAGACCCTACCTCAGATGTCTGACTTCGAGGCTCTGGAGTGGGGCCCGACCATCTGTGTTTGAAAAGCTTTCCAGGGGCTCGCAGTGCGTACACGGCTTGCAGAACCCCAGCTTTGCACAGACCTGCCTCCAGTCCTGCCCATGCCGCCTCCTGGGCTGCTCCCGGCATTCCTCCATGTCCTTGCCTGTGTCAGTGCCTATTCCTAGAACACCTCGTTTTACCACCTCACGCCCCTAGGCCTTGCCGCCTGACAAGCCCTACCCCACTTTAATGCTCATCTCAAACGTGCCTTCCTCTGCAAAGCTTTTTTATTTATCTGCTCACTCATTCTTGCATTCATTTCTTCAGCACATTGTTTCCTCTGTGCCGGGCTCTGTGCTGGTTGTGGGGGAATCAGCAGCGACTGGACGGGGTGCAGTGAGAAGGGTAGGCAAAGGCCAGATCCAGGAGGCAGGGCCTCGGGAGCAAGGGAAGGGAGGTGGGATTTGCTGGGAAGCCCGTGAAAGGTTTTGAGCCGGGCACAGGTGTGATCTGCGTGGTCGGTGGGTCCCCTGAGTCCTGAGGGAAGGGGAGATTGTCGGACGCAGGGGACTGTGCCGAGGGCCCAGCCAGGAAGCTCTGCAAAAGCCCGAGGGAGTTGGTGGCTGCTTTGACTAGGGTGCTTAGAGCAGGGGCCATGAAGAGAAGCAGACAGGTTTAAGACTTATTTTGCCAAAGGAACAGATGGGTTTTGGTGACGGAGCAGTTGCAGAAAGAGGGAAAGAAAAGAATTAAGGATGACTTCTAAGTTTTTAGCCCCCACTCCTGGGTGCATGGTGCCTTGGCTGACTCTCTTCCTCCCCTCTTTGGATCAGTCCTGCATCGGAATCACACCCTGAGCTTCGTACCACACTGAGTAGACAATGACCTCATTCACGAACCCAGTTCCTCCACTCAGCGGCTTGGGCCAGTTGCTTGGATAATTCTAAGATTCAGTCCCCTCATCCATAAAATGAGGATGATACTGCTCCCTACCTGCTAGGGAGGCTTCAAGGATTAGAGGGGCCACTGCAGGTAAGGCGCTCGGCCGGCTGCCAGGCACCGAGTAGGTGTTCTGTGCACGGCGGCTATTATTATCACTGCTATTTGCCTTAGACCAGAGCACTTGTGATGGTCCAATGGACCTGATGCGTGTGTGCAGTCTGGCATCGTTCCTGCTCCTCCCCCAGGCAGCTGAATGAAGACTTCCATCTAGTGGCTTGGTTTTTTGTTTTTTTCTTTGGTTTTTCCTGCCCATAGTCATTTGATAAAAGCCCTGGTCCCTGGTACTATGATGGTGAGGATCGTATCCCTTCCTACTGCTATTTCCTTGCTATGGCTGTAGTTACTAAAATAAATGATGCTGGTGGGGGCAGGCGAGGAATTTGATCGTTACTGTGTTTTTAAAAAGGTGAGGACAAGCAGCATTTTTAGAAGGGTTATCATTTGCGCCCAAGGGTACAACTGATGCTTTATTTGGAGTTAAAGATCTTGGCATCCCAGCAGCTAGAGCTGCTTGTGTGGGGAGGAGGTGGGCAAGACTGGGCCCCTTGGGAAATTAGACTTGACGGGGGCCGTGGCAGGGTATAAGAGTCCCTGGAAACCCTTTACACATTTATTTGACTTTCAAGTTTTGGACGAATGCTCAGCATGACTTGTTCCAGTAATAAATGAGCAAGAAGTCATTATCTGTCCCTAGTACCCCACTGAAACTGCGTCTTTGCCATGATGGCGAAGACCGCCACGTTACCAAGCTGGACGGATGCTCCTCTGCACTCATCTTGACCTGCCGGCCACATTTGTCACAGAAGATAGACTTTTCTCTCTTGGCCTCCATGATGCAGCTCTCTCCTGCTCTTCCTTCTACTTCACTGGCAATTCTTTCTCAGTCACCCTCACTAGGTCTTTCTCCCTCATCCGACCTCCACGTGCTAGATTTTCTCAGGTTGGGTCATGGGACTTGTTCTTTTCTCCCTAAGTGACCTGGAGCAGTAGGGTATCAGTTGAATTAATGAGCCCAGCATTAGCACTGCCTCTCCATGGAGAACCAAAGCAGGGAAGACGTGGTTCCCACTCTCAGGAACACCCAGGTTCCTACCTGGCTCCGACATGAGATCACCTCCAGCACCTCCCTCTCCCTCACCTCCCAGGTCAGAGCACCACTGAGCCTCTGCCCCGATGTGCCCTGGTTCATTCCTGCCGCACTGCCCAGCCTTGGTTCGAGCCCCGATCATCTCTCTGGTGGTTTTGCCTGATTGTTGCTACCCACGGATGGAGAGTACGAAGCCCAAGCACACTGAGTTAAGATCGCGGCTACAGGTGGAGTTAGGGAGCATGTCATAAAGTCTAGATGGAGAGGTTGAACCATCTCGAGCATAGTTCATCCCTGAATGCAGTCACAGCCATTGAGGATCCAGGGAGGATCAGGGACACCTGAGGGCTAAGGTTGGGTCTTATTTCGGGAGGCCAGGATGGTGGACATTTCTGCATCTGTACTGCAGATAAATGACCTCATCATCGAACTGTGCTCTGTCTGAAGAATGTCTTTGTAGAAGGGGTCAGGTGAGCATGGAGTGAGGGGCCAGAACGGGTGGGTGGTGTTATGAACCATTAGGGGGCAATCAGGAACACCCTGCTCCCTACAGGTTGCCCTCTGTCTTGATGAGGACAAACCTTAGGCCTCCCCTTTCCCGGAAACCTCTGCACGCCTCCCAGGACTAGTTCTGAGCGTACCTCGCATCCTGCCCGCAGCTCCCTGGGAAATAGGAGGGCCTGATTTGGACGGCAGCCACTAGTGCTGGGCACTGAAGAGTAGCCTCCTATCTCATCCTGGGTGTATGTATCCCAAAGCTTTCTTTGTCATGAGCCAGCCCTTCGGGGCCTACTTTTCTACAGACGTCCTAACAAAATCTGAGTTTTGCGTGCTAGGCACATCAAGATATGTGACCCTGGGAGGCTCTGTTGGGGCAGCCAGCTGATTGAGCTCTCTCTTTCTTTCTTTCCTAGATTGAGAGCAAATGCGTTCCAACCTCCCAATCCCTTTTTTACTGCAATGACTTACTAAGATGCAAATTTGAGCTCACATTTATTCAAGAGGGTGCTCTTGAATAAACCCGCACGATTTGGGCTTTAGCTCTTCTTCACTCTCCTGCTGCAAACTGAAGTATTTTTCTAAACAGACTCAGGTCTTTCCAGCTTTCAGAACTGTGACTCCTGCTGCTGCCTCTGTATGTCATGACCCAACATGCCACCTGGCCGCTGTGCTTTCCTTCTTTGCCAGGTGAACTCTTAACCATCCTTCAAAACCCAGCTCAGGCCGCACGGGGCATCCCCTGTATGCCCCAGATCCCCTGTGGGCATATCTCTATCACTGCAAGTTATCCTGCTGTATTTTATTCTGACCTTTTCAGCTTTCCCCACCACTGACCTGTGTGTTCCTGGGACGGGGACAGCCTCGCATCTCTGCCTCCTCAGCCCCCAGCTCAGTGCCTGGCACGTGGACACTAGATGTTCAGGGACTCAGTAGGTGAAGTAGGCTAGCTGAGTGAACACAGACAGGTAAGGCAGGACATACTTAGATGTGTGGAGCTAAGTAGAAGATGCCTGAGAAGAGCTCAAAATCTAGAGCCAAACTTCATAAAACTCAAAATAGAAGCAACCGAACAAATCAAACCCGAACATTTTTACCACACTTCCACACTTTATGCCATGATCAGCTCTTTGCAGTCAGGCTGTCATTTAACCCCTGCGCCCAACACCAGTGGCCATACAGAGTGGGTGCACACTCGGTCTGCAGATGAGGAGCCGAGACCCAGGAGTTCAAGTAACTTGCGCCAAGTGGCCCAGCTGAATTTCATCCGTGTCCGCCGGACTCCACAACCCATGCTTTTTTTTTTTTTTTTCCCCCTACAAAAACCCCACTCTTTATTACGGGACATTTCAACGAGGTAAAACTATATATAGATGTAGAGAGAGATTGGAATGATGGCCCCCTGGCTCCCCACTTCCATAACTAAAATCTCATGGCTAAATTTAAATCTCTCTATTCCTGCTCCCCGCCCTACTCCTGTCTGAGATTATTACATATATATCACTTCCTCTATAAATATTTCAGGAGTCATGCTCTATTTTGAACTTCTGCATTTTAATTTAAAAGGTATCAGAGTAACACATACCTTTGATCATAAAATGAAACAAGGCTGAAAAGAAAGGCTGGTGCAGAAAAACATTCCATGCCCCACATTTGCTCGTCCCACAGCGCCCGTCCCCGCAGCTTCTGCCTTTCATTTGTCCAGAGCTTCCCCCATATTTCTACATATTTTTGATTCCTTGAGTTATCAGCCACAGACATCATTTATTGACTTCCCAGCTGACAAATGAAGATTTCACTCACTCACACTCCACCACCCTTTTCCTGTCTTTATTGGCCATCTTGGTGACTTTAACTGAGAAAGCTCTATTTCTTGCTGTGTCATCATGGAGCTTCCCTTTCACATACTCGCGCTCTCTTGTAATCACAGGTGTTTTATTGTCTAAGGTCAAAGAGAAGACACAAAACCAGCTTAATTACTAACCTCCATTACTGACGCCTGTGTGAAATATAGGTCCTTTCTGCTAGGAATTACGACACAGGTGCCCTGGACTGTCAGAAGCTATGGGCAGAGAGCCAAATTGTTCTATGTCCCACGTGAGCATCCTCAGGCCTGCAGAATATTGTCAGCTGCCTGCTTCTTTCTCGCAGTGCCACCCTCTCCAGGGCATGTCTACACAACCCCCGTAGCCATCTAGCCTTACCACCGTGCTTGAAGCGTGAGTCTGACACTAGGTGACTCCATTTCTTCTCTTGAGAAATGGGGCCGCTCTAGCTTGGTAGTACCCGGCACGCAGTAATCCCTTAATTGGTGTTTGTTAAGTGAATAAGTGATGTATGTTTAAAGAGCCAAACATATGAAATAACGATGAAAAACCGATTCACAAGCAGCAGGCTGGCAAACCTTTGGGAAGAGAAGGTGTGGAGAAATGGAGGTCTCACACACTGTTCTGGGAGGGTAAATTCAGATAGCCACTTTGGGAAGCAACTTGGCAATGCCATATAAGAGCCGCTGACAGGCACAGCCCATTCTGCTCCTAGGTACTTGCTGAGAGCCGGGTCAGAAACTTCTTCTATGAAGGGTGACAGAGGAAATATTGTAGGCTTTGTGGGCCCACAGTTTTTGTCGCAACTACACAACCCTTCCCTTGTAGCATGAAGACAGCCACAGACAATTAGGACGTGAATGGATGTGACCGCATTCCAATCAAACTGTAGCTATAAAAGCGAGTACCTGGTTGGATTTGGCCTGCTTATAGTAGGATGCCCACCTCTAACCTAGGGAAACTCTCCCATACGTGTATGAGAAGGTTTATGCCCTCTCCTGTTTGTGACAGAGAAAAGTGGAAGCAACACACATCCATCAACAAAAAAACTTCATAACCTATGGTGTATATACAATGAAATACTACCTGGGTCACCATGAGCAATCGCAAAAACAAAATGAGAATTAAAGAAAGCAAGTTGCAGAGGGAAACACTATGTGGTGGTGAATTTTATGTGTCAACTATTTTATGATGGTCAGATATGGTCAAACATTATTCTAGATGTTTCTGTGAGAGTGTTTTTGGATGAGATTAATATTTAAATCGGTAGACTTTGAGTAGAGTGGATTGCCCTCTGTAATGTGGGGTGGTTTCATCCAATGAGTTGAAAACCTTAACAGAACAAAGACTGAGTGCCCCCCCCGCCCCCAACCACCCACCAGGGGGAAGGAAATCAGCCATCAGATAGTCTTTGGACTTGAATGGGGACATTGGTTCTTTCCTGGGTCTCCAATTGGCTGACCCCCTCTTTTTTTTAATATTTTTTTTTTTAAGATTTTATATATTTATTTGACAGAGAGAGATAGAATACAAGCAGGGTGAAGGGCAGAGGGAGAAGCAGGCTCCCCGTTGAGCAAGGAGCCGGATGTGGGACTCGATCCCAGGACCCGGAGATCATGACCTGAGCTGAAGGCAGACGCTTCACCAACTGAGCCACCCAGGGATCCCCTGGCTGACCCCTTAATCTGGAGCATCTAGCCTCCATTATCCTGTGAGCCAATTCCTTAAAATTAATCTCTTTCTCTCTATATAAACATCCTACTGGCTCTGTTTCTCTGGAGAACCCTAATGCACAGTATGATACAACTTAATATAAAGTTTAAAATCATGCAAAACAATCCTATAAAGGGTTTATATACATATATGGTAAAACTGGAACAACATTGGTGGGAATGATAAATGCCAAATTTAGAGCAGTCATGGCCTCTGGGGAGGGGAATGGAATCAGGACAGAGCACAAATGAGGTTTCCATTGAAATCTTTGGTTTCATGTTTAAATATGAAAGGTCTGTAGCAAATAACATTAAGGTTGACAATTCTGGATGCTGAGCACCAGTTTTTATATGTTTGGAATAGTTCATAATTAAGAAGGAAACAATGAGCTAACATAAAGAAAACAACTAGGAGAAGCAATGTAGTGCAGCGAATGTTATGTGATAGGTCTCTAACGTGCAGAGAGGGAGACTGGCTGGAGAAGGCAGGTCAGAGATGGCTGGAGGAGGTGGAGGGCAGCGGAGAGCCTCTAGAGCTCCAGAGGGCCTCCTTGGGCCGCAGGGATGACGATGGAGTGGGACTGGCTGTGCACTCGGGTCCAGGGCCGGGCAGGAGGTGTGGGCACGTGGGAACTAAGAACAGCACGGTGAATGGGCGGAGGCAGTGCGCAGGTGGCTTCGCAGGTGTGGGTCCGCCGTGGGGTCACGGTCACAGTCGCTGGAGCTCTCCCAGCACTTTGTATTTACCCTAAGGGGGCCCTTCAGAAATGGTTATTCCCGATTTCCTTCTGACAAGATTTGATTCCTGGGTGCTGGCCAGAGTCAGAGGAATTCGTCTTCTCGCTGGAGACTTGTTGAGGCTTAAACCAAATTAGGAGCTCTTCTTTCCTATTTCAGGGGTTGGCTGCTGGAGTAGACAGTCAGTGCTCAGCCCCGTGGGGGTTTTAAAACACTTTTGTACGCCCCCAGGTTCTGCTGCTTTTCTCTTCCCACAACCTGCACTTGGGTTCTGCTTCTTGGGAATCTGTCGGGGGACAAGTATGCTTCTCCACCTCCTGCTTTGTACCCCAGAAGTCCTCAAGAATGCCTCAAGCCTTGGTCTGTCTAGGGCAGAGCTGGGCACACAGGTTCTGGAACCAAACTGCCCAGGTTGAAAGTCTTGTCTCTATCCCTGCGTAGCTGTGTGACCTTGGGAAAAGTTATTTAACTGCTCTGTACCTCAGTTTCCTCGTCTTCAAAAAAAAGGAGTCATAAAAGTATTGGCTTTGGGAAGCCTGGGTGGCTCAGTTGTTAAGTGTCTGCCTTCGGCTCAGGTCATGATCCCGGGGTCCTGGGATCGAGCCCTGCATCGGGCTCCCTGCTCTGCGGGGAGCCTGCTTCTCCCTCTGACCCTCCCCCTGCTTGTGTTCCCTCTCTCGCTGTCTCTCTGTCAAATAAACAAATAAAAATCTTAAAAATAAAAAAAAAGTATTGGCCTCATAGGGTTGTTGTGAGGTTGAGTGGAATTAAGATATGCAAGAACCTCAGAACACATAATAGGTGCACATAGTAGGTACCCAATAAATGTCAGCTGTGTCCCTCTCCACTAGAGATTAGCATGGAGGGAGCAGAATGACAGCACTGTTTAAACGGCATTTCTCTCTTCCCCACACTTGTTTAAGGTACACGCCCGTGGGAGACATAGAGTGTTAGAGCAAGAAGTAAAGAGCTAAACTGTGGGCTGCCTCCCACATGGGACGTGGGGTGAGGCCTCTGCAGAATTCTCTGCCATCACCTTCCAGGAAACCTCAACTCAGCAATTTCACAACACAGTCTTAGAATGCAAAGGGCTCTTGGAGATCATGAAAGATGAAGACCCGAGGCCCAGAGAGGTGTGGTGGCTTACCCCAGGCCCCGGGGCAGGTCCTTTGCCCTTGAGAGTCCAGTAGCAAGGACTCACGGGGAGACCACAGGCTGTGATCAGAGAGACAGGGCCTCAGACCCTGTCTTTGTTACTTGGGGACTGCAATGCTCTACAAGTCTCCCTATCTAGGAAATTTTCTGTCCAGGGTTGCAAGACGATTAGGAGAAATATATGTGTTACAACACGATGATAACTGGGCTGGGAGGTCCTGCACTCCTCAACGAGGCCCCGAAGGGGCACCCATCCCGGGCACAGAGGTGGAGCCTGCAACAGGCATGGCGGCCTGGGCTCATTTGAGAGGGCTCCTGCCCAAGAGGGCAGTCTGCAAAGGTGAGGGGTGGCCTGGGGAACAGCAGCTGAAGGAGGGGCTTCCCCTTGCAGGGGGCCCAGTAGGGGAGTCTTAGAAGAACCCAGAAAAGGGTCCCTAAGAGAAAGAATCTGGTTTAAACTTTAGCCAGACCCAGAGGCTGCGAAGCCACCTCACAACAGCATGTCTCAAGGAAGGACTCTCCAGTCGTCTTTCCCTCTCCTTTCCCCCTGCTTGCACTTTGGTCAGGTTGAAAGAGCAGTGGGAAGTGAGGGTAGGAGGACTGCAAGAAAGAGTTGGCTGCTGGGCCTGTCCTGGGAGAAGGGGGGAATTGAGGGTTGACGTGTTGAATAATATACTGACTAGACCTTATATTTACTGGCTTGAGACTGTGTTTTGTGACTTAAAATGAACATGGAATTTTTAGTTACTGACAAGTGATCAGGAAAGTCATGAGACCATCTGTGTTTTCAACCAGGGGTAGGAGATAGTATTTACCTCCCAATGAACAGGTCAAAAGGGACCTTGGAAGAGGTTCTTCTCAAACCAAAGCTGTTTCTTTCCTTTTTTTTTTTTTTTTAAGATTTATTTATTTGAGAGAGAGGGAGAGTGCGAGCGGGAGGAGGGGCAGAGAGGGAGACAAGCAGACTCCCCACTGAGCAGGGAGCCCGACTTAAGGCTTGATCCCAGGACCCTGAGATCATGATCTGAGTTGAAACCAAGAGTCAGGTGCTTAACCGACTGAGCCACCCAAACCAAAGCTCCTTTTGTAACTATCTCTTGAGTCCTTCGTTTCAATGTATAGTTGACATCCATCAGATGCCCAGCACTGTGCTTGGCACAAGCAGGCACTCAACAATGTGTGGATTTAATGACTCATCATCCCTCTTAGACCTCAGGTCCTGGAGTCTGAGAATTTTGCTGCGTTCTATTTGAATTCCCATAGTTCCCGGTACACAGTAGACCCACTCTCAATGCCTGATGAATGAACATAATAAAACTGAATTCTGTGCCAGCCCCACAGCAGCTACCATGACAAATATTACCCTGTCAAGACTGCTGGTAAGGAGGGAGGCAGGGCCAACGCATGCCAACATCACTAACGATTCTGTACTTACATGTGACACTAATTACACCCACGGACTGAGAATCTGCAGCCTAATCTCTGACACTGACAAAGCCTTTTCCCACTCACGTTATTCTCCTTAAATTTCAAAAAGGTCGGGGCCATGGTGGCAGGTATAATTATCTCCCTCTTTTTGCAGATCAGGAAGCTGCAGGTGGGAAAGATTAGGGACCTGGGTGAAGCATTTGGTGAGTTGAGACTGGGAGGAGGTGGCAGACACAGGACTCCTGACTCCAAACGCAAGCTCTGACCTAAAGCCCAAAGTCACAGAAAATGCAACTAACAGAGAAAAGGAGGGGTGGTTTCTCCATCATGAATGGAAGCAGGAGAGAGTAAGAGCAGACTTGCTGGCTAATATATGCGAAGTCTCAGGGCATGGTGAGATTTTATGGTTGATTTATAATCCTCAGAAAATCGGGAGCCATCATGGAAATTCTGACCTAAACAGAGGGACAGCAGGGCAGCATGAACTGCGTGGCTGGCCTTTCAGTCAGGGTGGCGTTGGCAGCAAAGGGATGGTGGTAGGTGTCCAAAACTTAACACAAATGACTTTTTACAACGTGGGTGACTAGGTATGCAAGACAGTGCTCAGGGCAGCTAGAAGGTGGCGCCATTTGCCAAGAGAACTGGGTCAGAGACAGCAGTGTGGGACTCCCCCCATCTCCAGGAGCCAGTTGGAGAGCCCTGGGGGGTGGGGGGAGGCTAATAAAACTGTTGTTTGGGGGGGAAAGATGGTGGAGGAGTAGGGGACCCTATTTCAACTGGTCCTCGGAATTGAGCTGGATATCTACCAGACCACTCTGAGCACCCACGAAACCAGCCTGAGATGTAAGAAGATCTGGGTCTCTACAAACAGAATATCGCAGGCAGTTGGTTTTGAGGTCAAAGCGGAGAGCCGTGCGGGCAGATATCGGAGGATAAATGGCAGTGGGAAGGTGCCTGGCCGTGGGGATCCTGCACCGCCGGTGAGTGACAGCCTCGCACGCTGTGGACGGGCACAGACTCGCAGACCAGTAGCGTCGGGAAAGGACTTTAGGAGAGCCCCTGGGGCAGAAACCCGGAGCAGCAGGGTCCCAGCCTGTGAACTGCAGCCCCCGGATCGGAAACCTGGAGTGGCGGGGTTGCGTGGGCGAACTGTGAACGGCTGGTGGTTTTAGAAGCACAAAGGGCAGAGATGTGCCCCGACATGGAGGCAGGACTGGGAGCGCTGCGGAGGGG